CCCTCCTGGGGGGTGATTTCTCACTTTCTGTCTCTCTGTCTTTCTGGCGAGCGCATGCCCCTATAGCAAAAACCTCTCCAAAAAAAAAAAAAATTTCACAAGTGGGGAATACATTAAAACATAATGTACTGGTAGAACTCAAATCTCAAAGCACTTCCATCAAGAATGATAGTAGGGGGACCAGCAGTTAGCGTAATGGCTATGTCGCTGTACTCCCATGTAGTCAACCGAGGTTTGAGTCCTGGACCCAGTGGCTTAAACTCATGCTGGGCCCATGTGCGTGCATGCCCAAGATCCCAAGAGGAGAATGGAGGAGAAGGGATTGCGGTGTGGCCATCCCCCGGGGGGGTGATTTCTCGCTTTCTGTCTCTGTCTTTCTGGCGAGCGCACGCGCCCTATAGTAAAAACCTCTCCAAAAAGAAAGAACTTCTGTTTTTGCCTCTGATGGTGTTAACTTATTATACCAGTGTGCTTACCAAAATAACTGAGAAAGCTATTGAGGCAGTCAAGACCTGAATCGTCGAGACTGTAGAGAAGAGAACTACAAAGAGGTGAGCCAACAGTCTGCAAGTAACTCTACCCTTAGGGGTATTTACGCACTCTTGGTGTGGGATGAGACCAAGAATCTGCTCAGAAGGCCTAAGGTAGGAGGCAGAGAAACCTGCAGCATTTCTAGCAATCTCACAGGACCAAAATGACAAAAGTTACTCTTCTGTCTGCTAAGGTATTCCCGGATTCTAAAATCCAAGATATGGGAGATAAGCCACAAACCGTAGAATGGATTCTTACTCATACAGTACACATAAATGAATTTCAGATAGATTGTGAAAGGCAAAAGGATAAGACTTTCAGAAAATAATATAGGAGACAGTCTTCATGACCTTCAGTAGAGGAAGGTTTTCACACTGAAGAATATGTTTGTATGGGGGCCCAGCAGGTGGCATGGTGGTTAAGGCACTGGACTCGCACATGGCTGCTGTGATTTGAGTCCCAGACTTGGTGACTTGGGAAATCACAGTGGGCACTTGTGTATGTGTGCCCCAAATCCCAGGAAGAGAGTGAAAGAGAAGGGATTATAGTGTGGCCATCCCTCTTGAGGGGTAATTTCTCACATTTCCTCTCACTGTTTCTATTTCTCTCCTCTCCAATGAGTACCCCTGGAGAGGTACATGCACCCTATGACCAAAACATTTAAAAAATGTTTGTAATACTTAGAGCCCACCGAATAATATCTAGAATATATAAATATGTTATGAATCATTAAGAGAAAGAAACCTGTTAAGAAAGTAGATAAAGACTTAAATAGTTCACAAAGGAGGACAACTTACGGCCATAAGCATGTGGAAAGATGTTTAACCTTGCTAGTAGTTAGAGAAATGTAAATTAAAACCACAATGAGATATTGCTACTGTCAGATTGGCATTGCCACTTGACAATACCAAGGTAGAGAAGTGAAGCAAAGGAAACTTAAAAGGTGCTGCTGGGAGTGAAATTGACAAAACTGCTTTGAAAACCAATTTGGCATTACCTAGTAAAGTTCTAAGTGCACACGCCACGTGACCTAGCAGTTCTACTCGTTGGTGTATACACCAGAGCAGAATTTCTCAGCCTCTGCATTCTTGACATTGTGAATTGGTTCATTCATTGCTGTGGGAGAGCTGTTCTCTATCCTTCACCCACAAGATGCTGCTTGCAACATCCAGATGTTGTCACAACATCCATTTGTGACAAGCAAATAAGTCTTCAGACATTTCCAAATGTCTCTTGGAAGGCAAACACCCTTCACTTTAGAAGCACCACACAAGAGTAACCCTTGCACACGTGTACTAGAAAATATAACAAGAATGTTCACAATAGCATAATGAGTAGCCAAAGATTAGATAAAGCCCAGCTAACTATTGGCAACAGAAAAATTAATAAAAATGTAATAGTATATTAATTCAATAGGCACCATACAGCAATAAAAATGAATTAACTATAGCTATACTCTTTTACAAGAATGACTCTTACAAACATTGCTAAACAAAATAAACTTGTCTTAATAGATAAATGGTTTTTGTTCAATTCATATAAAGTTCAAAAACAGGCAGAATTATAAGTCATAGGAAGTATGTTTAAAATAAAGTAGAACAATGACTGTCCTAAGAAAAGTGGTTCCCTCTGGCATAGATGGAGGTGTCTGTAGTTAGGAAGGGAAGCATGAATAACTTCTAGGTTATTGGGGTGGTCTAGTTCTTCCCTTGGGTAATGGCTACATAGGTATTTTCTTTGTTTTTACTCTTATTTTTTTTTAAAGAATTACTTCTTTAATTTTATTTACTCATTCATTTAATTTAATTTGATCAAACACACACACACACACAGACACACACACACACAGGGATAGTGAGAAAGGAAGCCACCAGGTCGAGGACTCCAACCATGGTCAGCCATGTGGCCATGTCCAGCATCTTAACCACCATGCCACCTGCTGGTCCCTTCTTTGTTATTACTCTTTAAAGTTATTTATGTTTTACAGTTTTGGTATATATTGACATATTTCAGAAATCGGATAAATGAGAGTGGCTAACTTTGGTTTGGTGGATGAGGTTATATCATGGGGGATCCTGATTCTCTGCCCTCTAGTAGGCAGTGGGAGTCTTTATAGGGTTTTGGACAAGAGTAGCATATGGAAAGCAGTGGTTATTACACATACCATCTCAAGTACGCTAGGTAATTTATTATCTCTATAACTAGTTTAGTAATCACTAGCACCAAATTTTATAGCTAATACTGCAGGAATTTCTTCCCTTTGTAATAGTCCATAGGCAAGGGGGAGTTATTCATTGGCTAAGAGCTTTCGTCCACTTTGTACTTCAAGAATTCGGGCTCTTTCCAATTTGTGATGCCACTGTCTCCCAGGACTTCAGCGTCCTCTGCATCTAAGGACAGAGAATAGTAAAGAATATCTCCCCTTCTTGTCCATCTTGGCTTAGAAGTTAAGCCCTTAGAAGTGAAATCTGCTGTGCTTCCCTGATAAATTAGTTGCAAGGGGAACCAGCAGTTAGCGTAATGGCTATGTCACTGGACTCCCACGTAGTCGACCGCGGTTCGTGTCCCGGACCCGGTGGCTTAAAACTCATGCCGGGCGCGTGTGCGTGCGTGCCCAAGATCCCGAGAGGAGAATGGAGGAGAAGGGATTGCGGCGTGACCATCCCCCCTGAGGGGTGATTTCTCGCTTTCTGTCTCTATGTCTCTCTCTGTCTGTCTTGCGAGCGCACGCGCCCTACAGTGAAAATCTCTCCAAAAAAAAAAATAATAAAAAAATTAAAAAATAAGAAAATAAATTAGTTGCAAGGAGATTTGGAAAATATGGTCAGCTTATTCTCAGAAACAACTATTATGGAAGGGGAGCATGAACGTTTTTAGAAAACCTCAGTCATAAGTAAGTACGTACATACAACTGGAAGCTTCCCAGGAGGCTGATGCAGGAGTCTAATAACCCAGTATATGGTATGGCTGCTGTCATTTATCTTGATCTGCCTATGCTGCTTAGAATGTGAACTCTGACCTTCTTATTGCTTGATGGAAAAGCAAACAAGAAAGGATAGAACAGAGGAATTTTGCTTTCAAATTTTGCAGTGAGCAAGCAATTTTATAAAGTCATTACCTGTTTTAGTTGTTCTTTGAGTGAAAATAAGTAGCTCTTGCTACTTTTTTAATAACCTATATAACACATGAATGAAGACCTGTTCATACTACAGCATGATGGTGAGAAATCACCTCCCAGAGGGGATGGCCACACTGCAATCCCTTTTACTCCATTCTCCTGTTGGGATCATGGGCATGCACACACACACACGTGCCCGGCGAGAGTTTAAGACACCGGTACGGGACTCGAACCACAGTCGACTGCATGGGAGTCCAGTGACATAGCCATTACGCCAACTGCTGGTCCCACATTGCTGTCTTTTAATGTTTGTTTATTTTTATTTGTTTTTGTTTTTGCTAGAGGACACTTGTACTCACTGTAGAGAGATGGGGGAGGGACAGAAGAGAGGGAGGAGTCCCCCCTCTCTTAAGAATGGCCATGCCACAGTCCCTTTCCAGCATTCTCCTGTCAGGATTTTGGGCATGTGTCTGGCATGTTTTTCAAGCCTCCAGTGAACCGCACACTTGGACGTTTGGGATCTAGCTGCCTTAACTACCGCATCACAGTCTGGTTTTATTGCTGTCTCTGAAAGGCCTTAAATGTCAACAATATTATGACTACTACTTATAGCTGTCCCTGAATTTATACTAATATAAATTTCCCATTGGAAATAAAATAGGTTTTGGTTACTCTGTACACTCAAATGAAGTACAATACTACTTGAATTTTATAATATACATCTTTAGATAATGCTTTTTTTTTTTTTTTTTAATGGCTATAGAGTGCATGCACTCACTAGAGAGACAGAAAGCAGGAAATCACTCTGGAGAGGGGATGGCCACACCACAATCACGTCTCCTCCATTCTCTGGATTTTGAGCACGCATGCACACGCACACACCCGACGTGAGTTTAAAGCCTCAGGGTCTGGGACTCGAACTCTAGTCAACCATGTGGGAGTCCGGGAATGTAACCATTACACATCTGCTGGACTCTGGATAATACTATTTTTATTTATATACATGAAGCAAAAGCCTTCCCGTAAATACACGAATAATGATTAAAAGCCACCTAACTTTATTACTTTATTAAAATAAGGAAATTTTCATGATTGGATCCTATAAAGGAAATTGTTAAGTTGAATTGGAAACTGATGGAAAATGGCACAACTTTCTTTTTTGCTGGAAAGTGACTCTAACTGATTGGAATTTTTTTCCGTTTTTTAGCCACAGTCGGACTTGTTGGGACTCATTCAGGTCATGATTGTGGTGTTTGGAGATGAACCCCCAGTCTTCTCTCGTCCTACTGTTTCAGCATCCTATCCACCATATCAGGCAACAGGGCCACCAAATAGTAAGTTGAATCAAGATGTGATTTTAAAACTCATATAAACAAACAACAAAGAACGTCTTATAGAAAAATGTTTCTGATGACTTGACTTTGCTTTATAGCTTATCAAGTTAGTGGATTTTTTGGAGGTATTCTGAGGCCCCACATCTGCATGTACAGATACTCATCAACGACTGGCATTTGGGCTTCTCTTTGTAGGTAGAAGTCTAAGTATGGGTGTGCTGGATTCCAGAGTGGAGGGAGAAAGGATGGTGGAACAGAGCTAGAGTTTTCTTTAATTATGCATGCCATGGAATAGCTTTATTTGATCACCTTGGAAACAGATATAACTTGGAAGCTAGTCTGATTTTTCTTTTTCTTTGTAGATAAGAATTACAGGTCAACAAAGTCGTTCATGGTCAGCTATTCTGGGTATACACAATTGGACATCTAGCTCTGAGCTTTCTCTTTAGTACAGCCAACTCCTGGTCTTGCCCTGTGTGGAGGGGTGGGGCGTGGAGACAGTACCGGTTCTCCCCTAACCGATATACTTTCTGTTTTCTGGTTTTGAGTGATTCTAGCTCATACTCTAAAAATCACCCTGAATAAAGAGAGTTGGTTGTACTAACTCATTTTGATGGTACTAAATCAGTACTGACTTCATTGTATGGTTTTTTGTTGTTGTTTGTAAATTTTATTTAAGATTTTAATTATCCAAACTCTTTTTATCTTATGAGACAAAGGATGTGAGCTTTTATTTTTCTTCCTTGAATAATTCTTTTCCTTTTTAATCCATTATTGTTTGAGGAGCTTCTTGATATATAAGTGGAATAGAAATCTTCAGGACTTTTTGACCCCATGTTCCTTTCCTTCCCTACCTTCCCAGTATAAGCTCGGTTTTAGGGTTGGCATCTCTTTTTTTTTTTTTTTTTTTTT